CCGGGGCGCGCGGCTCGGGCCCCAGGGCGGCTGCGCCCCGCCGGCCGCCGACAACCGGCTCAAGACCACCAAGTACACGCTGCTGTCCTTCGTGCCCAAGAACCTGTTCGAGCAGTTCCACCGCCTGGCCAACGTGTACTTCGTGCTCATCGCGCTGCTCAACTTCGCGCCCGCCGTGAGCGCCTTCCAGCCGGGGCTGGCGCTGGCGCCCGTGCTCTTCATCCTGGCGGTGACGGCGCTCAAGGACCTGTGGGAGGACTACAGCCGCCGCCGCTCGGACCTGGCCATCAACCACCGCGGCTGCCTGGTCTTCAGCCGGTGAGCGCGGCCGCGGGGCCGGCGGGGTCCGGGCGGGGCTCGGCGTGGTCTCCGGCGTCCTCAGGGCGTGCGGCGTGCGCGTCCCGGGTCTCCGGGCCGGGCCTGGTTAGAATGCAGACTCTTCCCGCGCGCTGAAGTTGGGGCCCTGCGGCGCGCTTCCCTGGGCGGCCTCCGGGTGTGGGGAAGCGCAGGGACCCCACGCGCGGGCCAGCCCAGCTGCCAAGACCTCTGGGGGCGTCTTGGGTAGAGGGTTTCCCGGCGGGGAGCGAGGCGTTGTGACCTTGGAGGACCCTGCGTCCTGAAGCTGCAGTTTCTCTTCAGTGTGCGGTCTTAAAATCGTGATTTTCTCTGCCTTCTTTCTGTGTTCATTCTGTCGGACCTCAGTTCCAGGGCTGGAGTCTGGCAGCGGGCGGGGCACCCTCATCCCTGCCACTACCTCCTTCTGTGAAAGCGGCGACCCAGCTGCGGGCATCGCCGCCCGGGGCCCTGCCTGGTCCTCGGCTGGAGCCATGGCCCGGGGCACTTAGAGCCAGCCCCAAGGGCGCAGCTCCGCTTAGCCCCCAGCTCATCCTGGGACGTCACCCGGCAGCTGCCACGACTTCTGGAGCACCCAGCTGGCCCGATGGAGGGGCAGGGTGGTAACAGCGGCGTGTGCCCACTGGTGTGTGCTGGGAGCAGGCCTGGCGGTGTCACTCTGTGTAGTGTTCGGAGTGTGAACCTGCTTCCGGACGGAGGGAGGCTCCTGGCCGTCTGCTGGTGGCTCCCGGGTACCCACGGCCTACGCCCCTTATTTAGCCACCGGGCGTAGAGTCAGCCTGAGCCGTGCCCAGGGCTGGGGCGCCCGGGAAGGCGGCATCTTAGCCACAGCACAAAACTCAGCCGTGACCAAGCGGACGCTCTCCTCCCCCTGCTGGACCTACAGTCTGGCGCAGAGGGGCCTGAGTTTGAGAAGCGTTTGTCCTGCCCACCCCTGCCCTGCCTGAGGACACCCGGATGCCTCTGCCCACCCCTGCCCTGCCAGAGGACACCCCGATGCCTCTGCCCACCCCTGCCCTGCCAGAGGACACCCCGATGCCCCTGCCCTCTCGTGGCAGGTTCCTCCCCTACATGCGGGGATCGTGTTGTCCCTGCCTCTGTGACCCGAGGGTGGCCTTGACTCTGCTCTCTGACACCGTCTGCTGCCAGCCAGCGTGCAGAGGAGAGGGAGGGTCTTGCTTGTGGCCGGCCGCTCAGCCCCTTCGTAGCGGTGTGGGATTTGACCCCGATCTCCTGCCTGCTTTTCCTGTACTCCTGTGCTTTTGCTTCCAGACGTTTTGTAGAAATCACTTGAGGAGATTTCTGTGTGTGTGTGTGTGTGTGTGTGTGTGTGTGCGCGCGTGTGTGTGTGCGTGTGTGGTTTTGAGACAGGGTCTTACTGCAGTAGTTCCTCTTGACCTTGACCTGAGGCAGGCCTCGGCCTCCTGAGTGCTGGGATCACAGGCGGGGACCACCACTCCCGGCAAGGAGACTGAAATAACAACTCTCACGTTTGCCCCAGGTGTGGGATGGCCCAGGACTCACTGGTCTGGAAGTGACCTAGGTGACAGTGAGGGCCGGCTCTCCCTCGAGGCACCCATTGCAGGTCAGCAATCCGGACTCTGAGGGCAAAACCTGGAACTTCCTGGCTCCTGTCCTCTGCACTGCGTGGTTCAGGCCGTGCCTGGCGGTTGGAGTCTGCCTACGCCGCCTCCTGTCACCACGGAGCCCTAACTCCAGTTGCCACCATTAGAGCTGGGAAGGGTGGTGCATGCCTGCAATTACAGCATTTGGGAGGCTGAGGCAGGACGATGATTACATAGGCTTCAGGAAACGGTTTATTTTCCCTTGATCAAGTGCTTCCTGTGATGCTGTGAGGCCAGTGTGGCAGCCTCACCCTGCCTTGTGGGAAGGGAAACTGAGGCAGGAATCCAGAGCAGTTCTCTTCCTCTCTCCCTCCCTCCCTTCCTTCCTTCCTCATCCTGGGAATGGAACCCAGGTGTGCTCTACCGCCAAGCTACATTCCCCGCCTTATTCACTGATCAGTCGATTGATTGTTTTCGCGGTACTGCTGATTGAACTCGGGGCTTTCACGCTGAGTTATACCCAGAATCACTTTTAAACATTTTTTTGAGACAAGGTCTCCATAGAGCTGGACCTGACTTTGCCATCCTCCTGCCTCAGCCTCCCAGAGTGCTGAGCTTCAGGGTATTTGGCAGTGCTCCTGGCTTTATTTTTTACTTTGAAACAGTCTCACCAAGTCGTTCGGGTTGGCCTTGAACTGAGATCCTCCCACCCTACCCTCCAGAGGAGCTAGTGTCGCAGTGCTGCCCTGCTGGGCTGGCCCAGAAACCGTTTCTCCATTGCTCTGGCATCACCAGGCTGTGCAAGCCCAGCCTGCACGCGGCCACGCCCCCCTTAGACCCAGCCAGCTCCTCCGGGCACGCCAGGACTGGACCCTGGTGGCGGCCACCCCCGTGCAGGTCTGGTTGGTAGGCAGCGAATCTGATCAGAGCCGTGGGTCTGATCTGTGCCCCCTCCAAGGGTCCTGGCTGCGGCTGCTGCACAAAGGAGCTGTTCCGTCAGAGCTTGTGGGTTTTAACTCTTTCTCTCTTTGGAGACGGGCCTCTAACTCCTGAGCTCAAGCGATCCTCCTCCTCCACATCCTAGGTCACTGGGGCTGTGGACACAGCCTTTGCAGCGCTGCTCGACCTGCATTAATGAAGCTTTAGGGAGGTCTCACCCCCAGGCCTGCCCCCGGGGGCACTGTCTCCAGCCTGTGATCTGCTTGCTGCCTCTCAGGACGTGGCCCAGGGCCTGGAAGTCTTAGAGTTGGGCCTGGAAGCCCTGTTTGGCCCTTTGAGGGTGTCCAACTGTGCTGGGACCCTGTGAGCCGCGCGAGATCCCAGGAGCAGGTCCCGCCGTGGCCCACACTCTGGGAAGGTTCCCTGTCCCCACATCACCAAACTGTGACCCGGGGGCAAGGCGGAAGTAGGCGCTGCTGCCGGCGGAGAGGCCTCGGTGCGGGCACACGCTGGGGGGTGGGGGGGCTCCGAGTGGGACCCTCCTTCAGGCTATTCTTGTGTGTCCTGGCCCAGCACGCTGTGTGGGGCCTGGGCTCCCCATTAGCAGACACCCGACTCCCGTATGGAAGGCCCAATAGGGACAGGGTGGACGCCACGGACACTGGGGCTGAGGAGTCAGCGAGGGCCCTCGGGGTCCCTGGGGGGCAGAGCCGGAGGAGACAGGGCATGAACTCGAGTCAGGAGAGTGACGTATGCCCCACACACGCTGGGATCGGACCCAGGGCCTTCACGCTGAGCTGTGCCCCATCCCTTTGGAAAAGTTTTCTCTGTGAGACAGGGTCTTGGTAAGTGGGTAAGTTCCCTGGGCTGAGCTCAAACTTTTGGTCCTCAGGCCTCAGCTTCCTGAGTGCTGGGTTTTTACAGGTGTGCAGCTCCATGCCCAGCTCCAGCCCCCACCTCCCTTTTTAAGGTAGGTTCTCCCTAAACTGCCTGGGCAGGACTCAAACTTCTGATCCTCCTGCCTCAGCCTCTCCAGTAGCTGGGACTGCAGGCCTTCCACCACCAGGCCAGGCTTAGGTCTCTTTACCTGTGGGTTTCTTCTGTAAACCTCCACTTTCTTTTCTTTTTCTTGGTTTTTTGGGTTTTTTTTTTTTGTACTGGGAATCGAACTCAGGCCCTTGTGCTTGCCAGGCAGGCGTTTGTGCCCCTGAGCTGTATCCCCAGCCCATCCCCTTTCCTTTCTATCTCTGTTTGCTCTTGCAGTTCACTTTGGAGAAGCTGTGCATGCCCATGGGGTTTCCATGGCTGGCACCTTGCTGGTTTCTGCTGTGATTTGTGTAGCGTGCTCTTCTCTGCCGAGGTCCCTGTGGGAGCAGCTAGGTCTGGACACCTCCTCAGAGCTTCTCAGGCTCGGGCTTGAATGACCGGTTTTTAGGTAACAAAGGTGGAGTGCTACCCCGAGACACAGGCAGACCCAGACACCAGCCGCTCATGCGCCTGAGCTCTTGGTGGCCTCAACAGTCACTGCCTACATCCAGCAATCTGTCGGAGGAGGCAGCACTGCTGTGATGTGATTCTCGACCTCTTGTTTTATTAGGCATGCATTTATAAAGCGACACTTTCTGTTACCTGCTGCCTGCTCCCTGGTCCGGCTAAATCAGGCGAGGAAGGAAAAGTGCTCTGTGCTGGGTCAGCGTCACCTCGCAACAGGAATCAGTTAGCCTTCCAGAATTTGTACATTTTTATTCTCAGGTAATTTTAGATTTGCAGAAAAGTTGCAAAGATAGCACAGGATTCCTGTACCGAATGCCACCATTTCACTTGGCTGACTGTACTGTAACCGTCAGACTAGGACGCTGCCGTGAGCGGGCGGCTGCGGAACTCGCTTACCCAGCTCTGCACGCGTCTCCATGAACGCGTGGGTGAGTCTTTGTCATTCCTTCTGCACAGTGAACCTGTGTCCTGCCGCTGCGCTGCCTCGGCCACCGTTCCTTGTACGCGCCCTGGGGGCTTCTCAGGCTTTTCTGTACAGCCTTGTCATCTGGGAGTGAGGTGGTTTTTCTTCTTTCTTTCCAACCTGATGCCTGCCTTCTGTTTTTTCTTGCCTAACAGCCCAGACTAGCAGCCCTCCCAGAGCGCTGAACAGAAACGGCTGTGGCGGCCGCCCTCGTCTGGTCCTAACCCATTGGAAGACACTGGCTTAACCTGGCTAAGAAAATGCTGACTGTGTTCTTGTTTTGTTTGGTTTTTGTAGTGCTGGGAATTGAACTTGTCTAGAACTTGTCTCGCTGACTCCTCAGGGCCTTTGCACATGCTAGACAAGTACTCTGCCATCAAACTGCACTCCCAGGCCAACTGTGCTTTTATAGATGCTTTGTAAGGCTGAAGAGGCTCCCTGTGTTGGTACTTTGCTGAGTGTTTTGGGGCCGGGAATGCAGCACATGGTTTGTGTGCATAAGG